TGATCAAAGTAGATAGCAAGAAGCCATTCAGAGTTCAGTCGGATGACAATAAGTTTTTATTTTAAACCAACATTATCTTTGGATTGGTTTACAAACAAAAATAAATAAATTTTGGAAGGCCTTCATGTTACTGAGGTTTAATATCTTTAAACTCAGCCTGGCATAACTATTGCAACTCTTACAAAACCTCCAGTGCTGAAAGTCATTGTAAAAAGGGGAAGTAGTGAATTTGAGAGATCACATTCTGCTCTATTGTAATTTTACTTAGATATTTGTAATGAGCTATTAACACCTCTTGGCTCTATTGTAAGTTTCACTAAGGCATTCTTAATGGGTTATTAACACCTCTCTTAGTAGTCCATTTCCAGGCTGAATAGAACAGTTCTTTGCACAACTTATTTTAGCAGACAAAAGATCTCAAGATAACTTATGCTTTTCCAAGGTTTTTATTTGCAGCTGTTAGACTTTTTTTTCCTGTTGACAGCAAAATAAAATGAGCATGATAAGAGGCCTTTTTTATTATGTATGCTAGATTATATTTTATATTGTATCTTTTTTTATGCTGTCTGAGGCTATGGCCCGTAATAAAGTAAAATAGAAGTAGATAATTCATGAAAACAAAGTGGTGTTGCTTCAAGTGAAATCAATCGAAACGAAAACGCAAACTAAGGAAATAACTGGATAATTCCCACTGAATTCAATTAACAGTAAAGGAACCAATTAAATCAGACATCCCCAAAACTCCTCAGTTTACTGATGCTTCATGAAGTTTCAAATTGTTCATTGCCCCCCCCAAAAAAATTTATTATATGAAAATAATTTAATAAATAGTATTGGCAGTAGTAATATCAACAACAATGATTAGTCCCATCGAGGTTGGGAGTTAATATGAGTCGTTTGGAGATAAGAGAGAGATGATAGAGATAGATGGAGATGATAGATAGATAGATAGATAGATAGATAGATAGATAGATAGATAGACGGATAGATAGAGATAATAGATAGATGATATAGAAAGAGATGATTGACAGACAGACAATCTTTGTTTCCCATGAACTGGATGATGTATCTGAAGGTAGACACTTCGCAAACATTATCCAAAGATCAGGTATTTGAAGGTGGACTCAGGATGGGGTACCTTTAAACCTTGGCTTCTATGGAGATGGGTTTGAAGGCTTCTAGTTTCCACTTTTTATTTCAAGTCATGGATTAAAATTCATCTGCTATTCCAAACAGACAGGTCTATGACACGACAGTGATGCTTTGGACCATCAGTCGTCTACATCTTTAGATTGATCCCACTGTTAGCTGAAAATTTAGGACCTATCATTGTTTAACGATCACCTTTTTGCATGGAATGTTGGTTATAAACAATAACCACAAAAACATTGATAGCGTTCGTTGTCTGAATACGTTGGCGTGAATCTCTTTCTTTGCAAGACCCAACTGATTTATTGTTTTAAACTTTTAAAAAGTCAGAGCTTTATCTTTAGGCATATCTTTTGACATCACTACAGTTTCAAAAGCTGCACACAGATACACACACACACACACGTAACTGAGTAAAAACTAATTCTTCTGATACTTCCTCATTAAAGACATTTTTAAATGAATGATCTTGGGGGAGAAAGAGATTGTTTTTCTTCATTATCATATATCAGTGGGTTGTTTTTTTTTTAAGGAAATGACTGATGATGAATAATTTTCCGGTAAAACTTACCACTAATGGTGATTAGCGTTAGCAGTGCATTTGATTGGTGTTAAAAGTTTAAATGGGGGGGGGGGGGGGGGGGGGGTGAAAATTCAAGGCTGTGATTAATTTTTTGGCCGAAAGATGGCAGCACTTCATCTGTTTAGCTGTTCTTTTCTCCAGATAAATTGTTCTGTTTCTATAAGTCTGTTTTTTTTTTTTTGAGGGGGCGGGGGAGAAATAATTTGCTTTTAAACTCTGTTGGGGATGCTTCACACCAATCAAAGAAAATATTAGTTTTCCTCAGTGATTGCAGGAGTCTTAATTAAGTGCGAATTGTTGTCCTCGTATTCTGCAGAACCCCACAGTTCAGTTCGTCCGAATTTCTAGGCCTTTAGAATGCATTTGACCGGATTTTGGGATTTAGTGGGAAGGGGAAGTGTCCTTCCATCAGAAGGAGAGGACCCAAAGGTAAGAACAAGCATTACAGGTAGTCCTCGACTTACAACAGTTCGTTGAGTGACCGTTCAAAGTTATAACGGCACTGAAAAAAGGGACTTATGACCACTTTTCATACTGTTTGCAGCATGCCCCGTCTTCAACACCATCAAAATTCAAATGCTTGCCGACTGACTCACGTTTATGATTCTACCGGTTCGGGCGAACCGGATGTTAAAGTTACAGCTGGTTCGCCGAATCATTATTTGAATTGACTGGCTGGCCCTCCTGGTAGTTCCGGTAGGCCACGCCCACCATGGCCACGCCCACCCAGCAACCGGGCAGCGAACCGGTTGCTGGGACTTTGGAATCCCACCCCTGTTTATGACGGTTGCAGTGTTCCTTGCCAAGCAAAGTCAACAGGGAAGGCAGCCTCACCTAGCAACCGTGTCGCTAGCAGCAGTGATTCGCTTAACAACGGTGGCAAGAAAGATCATACAGACATGATATTCTTCCGATTAAAATCGGAATTCCGATTTTTGGGGGAATCCCCCCCCTTTCCCCCCCTTCTTCTCCTCCTTCCCCTCCCCTTGGAGGCCCCGAGTCAGGAGTTGCTATCGCCGGCGCAGCTCCAGTCCCGCGTTGCCTCAGGAAGGGAAAGGCAAAAAGGAAGAGCCGCGGCGGTGCTTTGCAACAGCAGCAGCGGCACCGGAGGCTCAGGCGCAGCAGCTCCCGGTTTTGCCTTTCCCTTCCCAAGGCAACGTGGGACTGGAGCCGCGCGGAGCCACGCCGGCGATAGCAACGCCAGACACCTGAGTGGAGCCCGGGCAGTGCAAGCGGAGGCCGCTGAGCAGCAGGAAAAGGGAGCTGGGCAGCCACGGACCAGCCGTCTCTTCGTGCAACACGCCACTGCTCGGCCCTGGCGACAGAAAGCAGCGGGCGCTCCCCGGGCGGTGGCCTTGGCCCCGCCCCCAGGGAAGCGGCTGCCCAGCTCTGGAGCTGATCCACACGTGACCGGCTGGAAAGGAAGAGTGTGTAGCGTTGGTGTTGTGTGTGTGATTTCTTGGCTCGCGGCGCGGGGTCTCTTTTGGCCGTCCCCGATTTTTTTTCAGAGGGGAATATCATGCCTGATCATAAAACGAGGCAAAATTCTACTTAACAATGGTCTCACCCAGCAACAGAAAACTTGAGGTCAATTGTGGTCGTAAGAGTGGACACCAACCTGTATAAGACTGTCCACTGAGAATCAGATAACAGCAGGCAAAGTATCTGCCAGTTCTCCCAGCTTTATCACACAGTAATCCATTCATTCTTAAGATCTCCATTGACTGTAAAGTTAGTCACATGTTTTTTAGTGAATCTGACTTCCACACTGACTATGCTTATTAAGAAGGTCGCAAAAGGGGATGGCATAATCCCAGGACATTGCAACTGTCATAAGTATGAGCCAGTTGCCAAGTGTCCGAATTTTTTTCATGTGACCACAGAGATGCTGCAATAATCGTTGTCAGGACTCCAACATGCACCCCCATTCAAATCATAAGTCTCTAGCCGCATCTCTCAGAGTAAAAAAAAGATTGATTTATTAGGAGTTGACATGTCGGCATTTCCCGGTTTCAGCCGACTCTGACATATCAATCATTTCACCCTTGACCCTGCTCTTCCCCCCACCCCCTGGATGTATATTCTCCAATGAGACACATCCATAGCCAAGAATCATCAATCATGCTCTTCAGTAATAATCTTGCATGCCAGAAATGGTGGTTGCCAAAGCAATTATCTGAAGCATTTAAGGAATGCACTGGTTTCCCCCAACTCCCTTTCTGCTGGCAGTTAAAAAGACCAAAGGAGTATTTTTTTTAGTTGACATTTAGCTCCCCTCACTTCTTGAAAGTTACCTGTACAACACAAAAAGAGAACAACTTAGGGTTGCGAAACCCCCCCCCCCCCAAGTTTGGTTGGTTTTCTGCATGGAACCTCGTCACAAGGCTATTTGGAAAGTGATCCTAAGTCCCTTTTTCAGTGCCAAACTTTGCAACTTTAGACTGCCACTAAACGAAGTGCTTTAAGTCAAGGACCACCTGCACATCAGTCTTACTTTCTTATTTATTATTGAGAGTTGAAAAGAAGCGATGAGCTGCGTATACTTGAAAGGTACGGAAGAGGAAAGGGGAGAAGAAGAAAAGCGACAGGAAGGACTGTATAAAATATTCATATAGGCTACAGCTCTGGCGCTTGGTGTGTGGCTTAATCCTCAAATGTCAGGTTTCCTTGAGGGCGACATGTGATACACAGCGTTGTTTTGCCACAAAAGTGTACTTTGCTGGTAGTAAGAGCCTGGTAGGCACCCTGGGCTGCATTCAGACCTTGCATAGACCTTTTCTATCTTGGGTTCATGGCCTTCTTCAGCAGATCTTCTTGTAGTCTTCTACTCTGCAAGGAGTCCTTGATGCAAACACCACTCCTGGCTTCCATGCGCCTGCCTTTCTTGTCACTCTGATTGCTTTAAAAAAAAAAAAAATTGGAGGAAAGAAAGAGAAGACCTACTCAGCTTTGATTCTTCCTCCCTGCTGTCTCTCTCTCTCTCTCTGTCTCTGTCTCTCTCTCTCTCCCCTCACCCATCAGTTTTGCAACCTGCTCAGAAGGTTTGGAGCTGAACTGTGGGGAGCTGGCCAGAGAGCATCCCTGAGAGAAGGGGAGAGAGAGAAAAAGTCAAAAGGAAGGTGTGGCATGTCTGAAGGAAATGAGATTCTGCTCTCTCCTAACATGAGCAACAGCTGCGAGTTAATCTTCGGAGGAGTCGGGCCGGTCGAGGCAGCTGTCTGCAAGAGAAGTCTCCACACTACTCATTCTTTGTCTTCTGCAATTGCAGGATGGAGGATGAAGCTGTCCTGGACAGAGGCGCTTCTTTCCTTAAGCACGTCTGCGACGACGAGGAAGTAGAAGGTAAGAGGCTGTCTTCTCTTTGAGTATTTTAAGGTAGCTGTTTCTTTTCCGAGGCTCAGAAGTGTGTACATGAGACATCCTACAAGTGGGGTTTGTATACACCCTAAGCCTAGAACGCTACAGGGTTATCAATGTGTAGAGCCTTTGCAATTTTTTTAAAAAATAAAAAGCTTGGTTTGGAAACATTTGTGAGATGTTTTTATTAGATCCGTTAACAACAACAACAAAAGGTTTAGGGGTGATATTATAGCAGTATTCCAGTACCCGGAAGGCTGCTCAGAGGGGATCAATCTATTCTCCAAAGCACCTGAGGGGGCAGGAAAAGAAGTAGAAGATCCTTCAAGAGAGATCTAGAACTAAGAACTTAATCTAGAACTAAGAGAAATTTGCTGACAGTGAGAACAATCGGTGGGATAGCTTGCTTCCAGGAGTTGGTGGAGCCGGAGGTTTTTAAGAAGATATTGGACAGCCATTTGACTGGGGTAGTGTAAGACTCCAAGCACTACTACTGGGCAGAGGGCTGGACTAGAAGACCTCCAAGGCCCCTTGCAACCCTGTTATATTATGTTCTATGTTTAGATGCATTGTGGTGCTGTTGTTTCTCTGTGCTTCTTGAGATGGTATTTGTTTTCCTTGCCTGGCAGGTAGACTTTGGAATAGAGTTTCAGTACACAAAACACATATTTATTGAACTACATATGGTGCTGGAAAAATAATGGCCATTTAAAGACCCTGAACATGGCAGGGCTGGCTCTGGTATGTGAGATAGAGGGGAGAAGTTGGGAATTCTGTCTCTGAAGGAACCTGTTTCTGATTCTTTCAAAACCATCTCCTTTTCGTGACTTTTCTGTCTGGCCCACACTTCTGTCTCAGCAACACAGTTCAGTTGCCAGATTAACTTTATTTTTTTGGACAATTTGGGCCGAGAGTGAAGTTTGTTTATTACATTGCAATAAAAATTGACACTGTGCTGATCTTCAGAGACTTAAGCTCCAAAATTTTCCAGCCCAAACAAGGTGAATTACAAGGTGATAAAAGATAAGAGCCACTTGAGAGGTGTTGCTCCATATAGACAAAACTTACTGTATTTCACATCTCTGCGATTATTATATTTGAATTCCAGTCTTCTCTCTTTCAAGGCTTGCAGGTGCGTAGTCTTCACCTGTTTTATCATGGCAGCGGTTACCTCTTTGAGAGGTTAGCTAAGGTAGAAGGAGTAATATGTAGGATAGCCTCAGTCATCCAGGTCATTGTTGTCCCAAAAGTGCTTCCTTTTCAGGAGGCAACGGGACTTTCTGGTTTTTCTTTGAAGACATTTCGCTTCTCATCCAAGAAGCTTCTTCAGCTCTGACTGGATGGTGGGGAATGGAAGGTTTTATATTCCTTGCAGACAGCTGGTCATTTGCATCTTTTAGAGGGTCATTGAGGCCACCTGGAGGTTTAATCTGTGTCCTCAAGAGTTATCTGAGTAGTGCTCCTGGTTCCTGAAGTCTGCATTTTTTTCCTTTGGAAATGCATTCCTACTCCCATATTATTCAAAGGGTATTCATCCCAAATTGTATAGCTAAAAGTCAGTAGAGATTCTTAGTTCCCCAAGTCATGGTTTGTCCCCAAAGTGCTTTTTCAAGAGGCAACTGGACTTTCTTGTTCTTTTCTTTTGAAAACATTTCACTTCTCATCCAAGAAGCTTCTTCAGCTCTGACAGGAGTGCTACTCAGGTGACCCTGAGGACACAGAGAAACCTCCAAGTGGCCTCAACGACCCTCTAAAAGGATGCAAATGACCAGCTGTCAGCAAGGAATACAAATCCTTCCATTCCCCAACTATCATGTCAGAACTGAAGAAGCTTCTTGGATGAGAAGCGAAACATCTTCAAAAGAAAAAACAAAGTCCAGTTGCCTCCTCAAAACGCACCTTTGGGACGTGTAGGATAGCATAATTGGATGGTAGCCTTGTTCTCTCTTCCCATTGATTCTGTCCAACTCTCTTTTTTGTTGTCCTTGGTGCTGTTCTTTCTTTGGGAATTATACGTGTTCAATAATAACTGTCTCTTTTGCTTGCCACAGAAATGCAAACAAAACATTCCCCATAATTGGGTTCAGTCTGGATTTCTGGTAGTAAGGTTGTTAGTTATACTTCATATGCCAGTAGGAAAAGAGATGGTTAGTTTGTGAAGATTTGTTTTATAGAGTATGTAGTCTAATCAGTATTCTATGCCCACCTCCTGACTCAGTGATGTAAAAAAACAACTTACAGCTGGTCTGTTTTCCAATCGTGGCAACTTCCAGATGTGCGGACTTCAACTACCAGAATTCCACAGCCAGCAGGCTATTGCTGAGACTTCTGGGAGTTGAAGTCCACATGTCTGGAAGTTGCCTAGGTTGGGAAAAATTAACTCTAAACAAAACACAAAGGGGATATTTGTAGTCTAGTAGATATTGCTGTTATCCAGCATGTGACAGCCTTCAACAGCTTGATGGATGACCTGTATTGGTAGGTTTGATAGTCTACTTCTAGAGCAAGGGTCTTCAAACTTGGCAAGTTTAAGACTTGTGGACTTCAACTCCCAGAATTCCTGAGCTAACATGTCTGCAGGAGGAATTCTGGGAGTTGAAGTCCACAAGTCTTAAAGCTGTCAAGTTTGAAGACCCCTGTTCTAGAAGTTCATACATTCCGTAGTATTGGTTTATGAAGAGTGTTTACTAACACTTACTGTATATGCTACTTTACTTTCAGTGTCTTACAGCAGCATACATTGTAAAATCCAGACAATTAAAAGGAGCTTAATATAATATTCAATGTTTTGATGACACTGGCTAACTTAGGTAGTTACCAATACCTTCCATTTTCTGACCATCTAGTATTTACTTCCATTATGGAAATTCATTATGGTTCATTAAACCATTGCCTTATTATTTTTCATTCTTCAGAACTCATAATCACTCTGATAATGGAATAAAACACCCAGAGAGATACCTTAGGTCCTTTTGGCTCCTGTTAGTTCCTTGCACAGAGAGTTGAGAAGGAATAGTTTTTCTTTCATGTGTTTCCTGGCACATTCCTTTCTTGAAAGGTAAAATCGTGCTACATATCTAAGGTGGTGGAGCTTTGGATGTGTATCACAAGATAACCCAATTTGGCAAGGAACGGAAAAGTTTTGAAGGCCCTGTCTTTATCAACTCTTTTGATAAGGTTTTGGGCAGTTTTGTAATATGACTTCATAGAGAACGAAGGGCTCCAGATTTCGCAAACTGGTCGCTGGATTTTGAAAAGGAAACCAGAAAGGTTCACGTTTTTGTTTTTAAATCCCTGTAACAAGAAGGATGAATGCTGAGATTGATGCAGAGGGTTAATTAGAACATGATTATGGTGACTTCCAGTAATGAGGAGCTAAATGAACCACAAATCACTTGTAATGTTTAATGGGTGGTGCATTCATCAGATCGAGAGCTTTGAGGCTCTTATTTTTATTCTTATTCTCAGGAATTGCATTCTTTCCAGGTACTGTTGAGAATACTGGATCGGCTTTTTGTGGCTAGAGTACAAGCAGATTATCGTAACAATGCTTGTTTCTTACTTTCTTTATGATGGTAAGATAAGAGTTTCTGGGGAAGTTTAATTTGAGAGAGAGAATAATTGATGTGCTGCCCTTCAAAACATACCTTTTCAAGAGCAGTTTACCAAAGTTACCAAAGGTAGTTTCTGAAAATAGAACAACAGCTAAAATGAAAACATCTAATAACCATTATTTCTTTTCATTGTGGAAATGAAAAGCAAAGCAAAATTTGGTCCAGTTATTGCCAGCCTCCTACAGCCCTGCACTTTAAAAGATTTCCCATTCAATCCTATGCAATGATCAGAACCACAATAAATTAAGAATATTGCGGTCCTCTTCTATTTCCTTCGCTCTCTCTTTGCTGTTTTTCTTCACTGAATTTTTTCCTCCTCCATTTGTCTATGAAGATTCTCAGTCATCCAAGTCATGGTTGTCCCAAAGGTGCTTTTTCAAGAGGGAACTGGACTTTCTTGGGTTTTCTTTGAAGACGTTTCGCTTCTCATCCAAGAAAGCACTGACTGGATGGTGAGAAATGGAAGTATTTACACTCCTTGCAAACAGTTTGTAATTTGTATTCTTTTAGAGAGATGTTGAGGTCACTTGGAGATTCGTCGGTGTCCTCAGGGTCACTTGAGTGATGCAAATGGGTGTGGAGCCATCTTGGAACTGCTGAAAGGACCCTATAGTAGGCTAGAGATAGGTAGTGTTGTATCCCTCCCGCTTTGTTCAGAGAGGGCTGTTCAGTTTTGACACAGATGGCCTCTTTGACTCCTCTTTCAAATCAACAGTCGTCTCTGTCCAAAATGTGGACTTTGCTGTCTTCAAAAGAATGGACTTTGTCTTTGAAATGCAGGTGGACTGCTGAATCTTGTCTTCTCGTGGGTTTGTTCTCCTATGTCAACCACTTTATCAACACATGGCACAACATAGGGGAACAAACCCATCAGGGCAAGATTCAACAGTCCATCTGCTTTTGAAAGACAAAGGCCACTCTTTTGAGTTGTGGTCAGCCACCCATATAATAATTGCCATTTTCCTTCTTCACAGTGTGAGGCTTAAATGGAATTGTGTTTTGCTCACTGGGAACTGATGGAACACTTGTGTGTGAGATTATGGATCAATATTTCCCTTAATTGTGGTGTTGCTTAAGCTGGGAGAGGCAAAAATAAATTAATCTCCGTTAAAGTAGGAACTGCCGATTGAAGTGTTTTCCCAACAGAGGGTTGTGGATGTGGTTTACAATATCACAGTTTGCCTATCATTAATTTTATCTCACTGTACAGTACTTCTACCTTTTGGAAAATGCTTGGCCAAAAAACAAGAATGCTGTATGTGGCTGGCATGAAAGGTGATTTCTTCTCTGAGTGATCTGAGAAAGTTAAAATATAAAAGATATTCAAAGTCACCTTATTTGTCATGTAAGTCTACAAAGGACCATCAATTT